AACATACCATAAACTGATGTTTTGGAGAACCTCTCATGCTTGGTTTGCTTTGGGTTCCTTACTTTGGCCTGCTGTTAACTCACTGTTCATATGACCATAACATTACTGGTCTTCATTCTCAAAGACAACCTTTAATTTAATTTAAAGTTAACTCAGCCCCAATTTTCAGAAATGCAGCAGGCCTTTGGACATTCTGAAAATTAAACATTGGGTTTGCCACAGTGGATGCTTTTGGAAACTCTGAGCAACATTCCTTGTCCTGTGACTCTTCGCCTGCTGATACCAGTACTTCCCTGCCTTTCTAGGGAAGACTTGAGGCTTGCAAAGCGTGACGCAGTTAACAATGAGGTATTTGGATGTAAAGTTTGCACTGGAATTATTATTATTGGAAGACCATTTGGCCATTCTAAAGGTAACGGGCTATTACCTTTCAAAGGAAAGTCTGTCACTGCTGAAGTATCTGCTGCTGACCTCCCATCACAGCAACATATCAGCCCACACATACTACCTCCTTAAAATCTTAAACTTCAGAGAAAGGATCTGGGCATATTTCTATTTTAAATTACACACATCCAGTTGTTGCTGCAGAGCCATTAAACCTGTGTGGCTCTCTGCATCCTCACGCACAGCAGCTTCAGCTGAGCTATTCATAGGGCTGCAGCCACCCGGGCTGCAGTGAGCTCACAGCCTGCCGGCAGCAGCTGCAGCCTGCCTGCGACAGCACAAAGCGAGCGAGGGAAAATGCACGTGGGAGGAGGGAGGTGCAGGGACAGAATGGGGATGGCTCACTTTTAATTTTTAGATTTGCCAACATCACGTCGGAGTTTTCAGCATTTGTAACTCAGCAATGAAGGCTCACAGGGTTTGCTTTGTGGAAGCGTGCTTGCGTGCTCCGGGTTTGCATTTGGCACTCTGGCTTTGTGGAATGCGCAGATCAGAAGGAATAATGCAGTCTAAGGAAGGAAATTCCTATTCCACAACAGACTACCCCAACAGTTAGCAGCTGCCTCTCCTCTCAGGATGCTGAAGCAGTACCTGTGAAACTGCGGCTACCTTCCAGAGCCAAGGCAAACAGTTGGCCAGGATTACACAGATGACTGCTATTTCTTGTTTTATTTATAGCAGCCATTGCAAATTGTGTGTCCATCCACTTTAAAAGCCCTGCCTCCATCCCTCTCATTCCCACAGGCTCATTCACAGTTCGAATTATTTGTTTTTACATCTGGCCTGCAGGGAAGCACTGATCTTGCTAGTATTTGAGTTTGCTTTACACACTCCAGCTTGACCAATTCTAACATAAAATTGCTTTTGACTTCAGTTTTAACTCAGTTACAACACAAAAAAATATATATCACTGTGTCTGAATTAAGGTGGCTGCAGCTGCAACAAGAGCAGCCATCAGAGTACACAAGTTGAAAGAAGCCAGGCAGAGGCTGTTCTCATACTGCGCTTTGCATTTTTGCAGCTTCTGTTTTGGTCACAGCTGAGAAGCCACTGAGAATTTCACTCTGGCCTGCTCCTGCAACCTTCCTGCCTGCCCTCTTGTTCCTGACAGCCCTTCACAGCAAAGCACACGAGGAGAGCAACGCTTCCACGTGTTCATGCTCAGAACATGCTGGATGAGACAGACCACACCATGAACGGAAACCCCACATCAAAGGAGAAGGAAAGGAGAATTAACCCTGGCTGCCATGTTAAGTAGCAGCCTTCAGTGTGGAGCACAACCTCCAAAAGGTAAATGCTGCATATCCTCCCACTTCTTCTCATCATTTGAGATGCAGCAAAGGGACACACAGCCCACCTTTCTGTTAATACTCCCAGAAATTTTTCTGAAAGTTTCAATATTGTGAGAGTTAGCAGTATTATGAAAGACCCAAACGATCATCACTGTTCTTAGTTCCAAAGCACTCTGCCAGGGCGAAGTCAGCAGGCTCCTGCTGGAGCCCCAGTTTCCTTCCCAGGCTTGTTTTACCACATACCCCTGCTCCATAAAGAACATTACTGACACGCAGTTGCTCTCAGAGCAAGAGAAACAACCATAAAGCCAAAGGCACCCAAGCATCACCATCAGGTGCACTTCATGTTCATAAGCTTTCTCATGTTTCTGCTCCCAGTTCTGGGTTATGCAAGTAGGCTCCACGATTCATCTGAGGGACAACAAGGAGGAGTAAGGGGACAAAGAAACTCAAAGTGGAGGGCTGTGCAGAGCAGTGAGGCCCAAAGGAGCTGCAGCTCCACCTCTGAGATGAATTGCCTGTGGAATGCACTCCCCAGGGTGGCATGGCCACACCGGGACCAGGAGTCAGCCTCTACAGCTGCAAAACCTAGTGGGCTCCAGGAACCTCCCCTCCTAGCTGCTGTACTGGCTGTTTTCTGCTGAACTGGGGTATTTTCAGATGAAGTCTGCCTGGACATGCACACGGTGGGGAAAGTTTGTCTGTATATAGACTGTAACTTGTGAACTGTGTCATTTTTCCCTGCTATATATAACCTGGAAAAAAATAGGACCTTAATAGATTTATTCTCAACCTACTTTAAACTCAAAAAGATGCAAGGCATTATGTGGTTGGTGCAGTTACTGTGCATGATTCTCCCTACATTGTGAAGCAGCTCACTAGAAAAGCAAACTAGATGTCATGAACTCAGCTCACAGCCCCCCACCAAACAGAAGTCTGTCACACATTGCTAAATACATAACCATACAAGCTAACAACACCCACACATTGGTAAGTCAGTACTTCAGGCTGATGGGCCTGCTGCACACTGGCAGCTTTTGGCTCCCTGCTCTGCCATGGGCTTCCTGTGGGAATATGGAGCAGGTCACAGCCCAAACTTCTGCACTCTCACTCCTCTTCCCACAGAAAATGAGATCTGGACTCTGCCCAGGGCTGGGGCTGTATGCACTCAGAAGGCTGCAAGTAGCTCAGATGCCACTATAATCACATGCTGCCAAGCTTTGATAAAATGATACTATCAGGCTACTGTTTTGCAGTAAAACTATTTGGGGGTGACAGGATTAGAAATAACAACACTGATGTTTGCTGGCACAGAAATCCCAACTTCAAGCTGCAATGAATCCGAGCTGAACAGAAGTCTGTACAATCAGCAGGCATGTACCAGACGCAGCATGCTGCTTCCTCAACACAGAGAAGAAACTACCAACTCCTGTCTTTTCTGCTCTTAAACACATACAATTGTTAAACTTCACAGAAAGCTTTCTTTTACCCCATGGCTCTCTCAGAATGGCTCATCAGCAAACTCCGATGAAGGAATAAAAAGAACAAAATTGTCAGGCTGCAGGCTCTACATGGGTTCCTGTAAGAACCTCCACAGTTGTTCTGGGTGCTGGAATGGGGCTTCCATGGGCAGCCCCAGATGTCCACTGCTCCCCTCCAATAACCTGAACTAGGGTGAGGAAAATGGTAAAGATTTTATGATTGCTGCAGGTCTGAGTTTCGCCAAGAGCATATCGCTTTGTGACAGCAGTCTCCCTGAAACAATCTACAAGTCTAGACTTACAGTACCTTTGCTTGCTGTTTGCTGCAAATTGGCCAGCTTACTACTAGTGTTAGAGGAAGCCAAAGGTTTCTCCGTGCAGCTACCCAGATGGACACCACAAAGCCACTTGAGGTAAGATTGCACAGAGCTTACAACACACGCTCTCGTAATTAGCAACAAGCCAGCATGGGCTGTTTGAGACAGCATCCACGAATAAGCTCTGCATACATACACGAGTGCAAGGTGCTTTTTCTTTTTTCTTTTTCTTTTTTTTTTTGTATTTTCCAGTGCTCATTATAGAAACTGGATGCATGTTAGCAGATGCTTTATTTGCCTCAGCACACTTGAACAGTATTTTGAAGCCAGCTGGGTTGTGAAGCATTTACTACTAAAAAGCAAAGGTATAGTGGAAATAGCAAGTGAACTCATTTTGCATCACTGGGACCAGTTTGTGTTTGTATCAGTGAGTTCTCAATGATGAAGTCAGTCTGTTGATAGAAAACTCACCCTCCAGCTACTGGCTTTCTGGAAGCAAAGCTGTTCCCTGGAATTCTCCCTGAATGGATTGTGTTGCTGCTTTCAGGCCTTAAACACTCAAGACTGGCTGAGTACTGCTTCCCTTACAGCTACATGCACACTTAGAGAGGCACACTAATTTGAACAATTGTTCAGATAAGAGCAGGAATTACTGAGTTACAAAGTATGGCTTCACTGTGTGCCAGTGCAGAGAGATTATCTTCCTCGTTGTTGCTTACCACAGGGAAGCACGTCTGAGGTCATGTGAGACCCAAACACAAGCTCATGCTGCAAGAAGTTTTAGTATAAGGAATATACAACTTTGCAAAGACCACACAGCATTTCTGTAGAAGCTCCACGCTTTTTTAGCACCTCCTGCCCACAAAGCCAGGCCCTTTACATGCTGTTTTGGTTCAGATATGCCACCCCCAAAGTATTTTAACTCATAAGACTGTGCTCAGCCGGCAGCTGCTGGCTGCAAGTTGTGATAACTGAGCAGAGATGTCGATAATGGAGCCCTGTGCTGTTCGCTACAGTAGAGATCTCTCTGAATATCCAGCATTAAAACTGCCTCAGTCACATGCTGACATAGCGTCTTCCTCTGTGGGCTGTAATAACCTTCTCAAGAGAATCACTTGGACTGTCTAGTATAGCTTAAAAAAAAAAAAAAGAAGAAGAAGAAAAAGAAGAAGAAGATGAAAGGAAAGAAAAAAAGGCAGCAAAGCCAAAAAGCCAAAGCTGAACAACAATTCCATGAGCCCCAAGTGCAGACACGGGTCCTGCAGCAGCCCACCACCGGCCGTGCCGCGCCTCCCCGCTGCCGAGCCGGCTCCCGGCCGCCCAGCCAGCCCCGCTCGGTCCGTCCCCGCTGCGGCAGCGGACGACGCGAGGAGCCCCGCTGAGTAATGCCGCCGGGGCGCGCAGCCGCCAGAGCAACTTCGGCGCCGGACAGCGCCGGCTGCCAGGGTCTGGGGTCGCTCACTCACCTGCCCGGCGGTGTCGTAGAGCCCCAGCAGGTACTGCTTGCCCTCCACGGTGACGCTGACTGCGAGGAGGGAGAGACAAACCGGGTGAGGCCGCGGCGGGGAGAGCCCCGGCGGGGCAAGGTCGGGCGGGGGGGAGCGGAGCCGAGCCGAACCGAGCGGCTCCGCGCCGCCGCCGCCCCCCGTCCCGCTCACCTGCGTAGTGGTCGAAGACAGTGGGCACGTACTCCTCGGGGAAGGCGTCGTTGGCGTAGCTCATCAGCAGGCACGTCTTGCCCACGGCGCCGTCCCCCACCACCACGCACTTCAGCATGACCGCGGCGCTGCCATGGGCCATGGCCGGAGCCCGCCCTCATGGCCCCGCGGGTGCGCCCCGCCGCGCCGGGCCCCCCGGCATCGCTCCGCCGCCGCCG